AGGAAATCGGCAGCCATTTCATTGGTCGAACAGTAGACCAATCGCATCCTCCCCTTCTCGACTTCATCCTTGCGAAAAAGTAACGCAAAGAAATATGTTTCGTCCTGTTGACGAAGCCAGGCTGATGCGCGATGCGAATTGCACTTTGATTGTCGCACTGTAGGGTAAACTGGGTAGTCCTCGTCAACTTCGCTTCTTCCAATAGTTCCTGTAAGTAAAGTCCTTCGCGTGTTGCTGTGCAAACAGCAATAAACTCAGCTTCAGCAGAGGAGAGAGCAATCAACTCCTACTTCGTCGAATTCCAAGAAATAGGTCCGAAAGGTTCAAGCCGGTAGATAAATCCAGTGCGTGACCGTCGATTAGTAGAGTCAGCAGCGTGATCGGCGTCGACGAAACCGTGTAGGTATAGTGATTTGCAACTGATGACGTTGTAGACTAAACCGACGTCAGGAGTTGAGACGAAATATTGAAGCGCGCGGAGAAGATCAAGGTGGTGCTCCTCTTCAGGACGGCGTAGGAACTGAGCGAGCTGACTAGTTACGTAGGCCAGATCTGGACGACAAGTAACAGCGGCGAAGAGTAAACAGCCTAACTGCTGTTGATAGGTCTGTAAACCGGTTGAGTTTAATGGTGCAGTGTTCGGTTTGTGATCAGTCGGTAGTGAGCGGTACGGTGTAGAAACTGTAGTAGGAGTGAGATTGAAATGGGCAGCGAGCGTTGCTGCGTACTTAGAAGCAGTGAGGTGAATCGTTGTCGGTGAACAGGTAATGTTCTGACCAAGGAACTGTGAGACTGTTTCGAAGACTGTAAGTTGTAGGGTTTTCTATAGTTTCATTATGAAAATGTCGGCGAGCGAATCAGTAGTGCTGACGTAGAGAATATCGTCGACGTAGGCGACGAGTAAAATATAGTTACTGCCGTCGGTCAGAAGATACATTCCCTGGTCATGCGGTAGTTGTCGAAATCCGGCAGTGATCAGCTGTGAGTGGAGGTACTGCTGCCAGAGCCGTGGTGCCTGTTTAATGCCGTACAATGATTTTCGGAGACGGCATACGCTCGATGGGTTAGTAGTATAGGAATGCGGGTATTCTACCAGGATGAGTGCGTCAACGGGCGCGTAGAGAAACGCATTTGACACGTAATTTGTCAAAGACGTAGATTACGGCAGGCGGCGACACAGAGTAGAATTCGAACGCTTGTATGTCGGCCGACAGGAGCAAAAGTTAGTTCATAGTCGATGCCGTAAGTCTGCTCGACCCCGCGGACGACCCATCGCGCCTTGAACTTTTCAAACGACCCATCTGCATTAGTCTTGACGCGGAAGACCCATTTTCCGGTAAGTACCTTCTTCCCTTTTACTTCTGAAGTCGGTATTAAATCCCATGTGCCACGATTCTTCAGAGCTGCTAGCTCCTTGTCCATGGCTTCGCACCATTTTTCTCGGTGAGGGCTCGTAAGAGCTTGTCGGACGGTTTTCGGTTCAGGTATATTACTGTCGTTGTACTGTACTGCTACTGCAAATCCAAGTATCTGTAATCTTGTTTCTGTAAAACGCGGACGTTCTTCGTTTGCACCTGCGAAATTTTCTTCCTAGTCCTTCTTCCCCCCCAATTTCGTCACGTGTAACTCGAACTGCTTCGTCGGAGACGGCGGGCATCGGCTGCTGTTGGCGATCACGTTCGTAACTGAGACGGACTTCGCGAACGTCATCTGGGTCAGCATCTGCAAGAGGAATAAACTCTGGTATGCCAGTCGAGGTTACAGGTTCGGGAATGTCAGTTGTGGCAGCTTCGGATGCTTCAGAAACTGCTTCGTCCTGTACATCAGCCTCGGCTTCATTAGTTGCAAACGCACGCGAGCCTTCGAACAGCCTGGCGGGGTTGGCAGCTGCTGCCTGGTGAGCACGAAAAACAGGCAAGGTGAGTCTTTCGTAGAAGAGACAATCACGTGAAGGGACGATTTGGTTTGAGCGAAGATCCAAAATCTTCCACGCATGATACTGTTTTTCGATGCCGAGATGTACCCCCCATTTCGCCCTTTCTGAAAAATTGCCAAGTGCTGCAGTTGGAGGACGAAACTGCACGACACACCCAAAAACTCGTAAAATTTTGGTGCTTCCCACTGTACGTGTCCACTGCAGGTGCGGAGAAGAAAACTCGGGCAGCGACGTTGAAGAAAGAAGATTGTGTAACTGCACGGCGTGGTCCATCGCATATGGCCAAAAACGCGGTGGAAGAGCTGCCTGCGTCAGCAGAGCACACATCTTCTCCTGCAGAGTCCTGTTGATTCTTTCTGCTACCCCCATCTGTTGGTGTGCATGCGGCAGGGACTGCTTCCGTTTGATGCCGAGTGTCTGAAGGTATTCTGTGAAAGTGTTGCTGGTGTACTCCCCTGCACCATCGCTCTGGAATTCTTGCAGTTTCACGCCAGACTCTCGTTCAGCGACAGCGAGCCACGCGACGAAGACGGAGTGCGCGAGATAACGAGCGGGAAGGTTAGCTGTCCAGACGTAGCGTGTAGATGCTTCGATGAAAGTGATCACATACTGCTCGTCTTTAGGTCCTGCTTCAGGTAAGTTTAGTATGACGCTGTAAATTTTCTGCATCAGTTTATAATGAGTTGAACCAGGAAAGTGACTTGGAAACGGATTGTGAGTAAGGTTGGCAACCGGACACGTGGTGCAAACCGTCGGTCGAGACTGCGGCTTCATCTCCGTACCGTCAGGTAAGAGAAGACTGTTTTTATCAAGAACTGCTGCTCGGATTGAATGATGAAGTATGCCTTGTGATGGATGTCCTAACCGCTGATGCCAGATATCTTCTGTGCCTTTGAGTCCTGATGATCGCAGGTAAAAATCGGAGTTAGTATAAAAAGAAGAAAGAATAAAAGGAGAAAGCGCTGGTAACGGGTCGATCTCTCCTTCGACGAAACATGTAAGTGGTAACGTGACACGTGAAGGTGCTGGAGTTGCGATTGCAACGTCTGATACTGCTTCTGTGGATGTCGTGGCAGGTGTTTCGGCGACAGCTACTGTTGGACTCAGCTGCTTAGCTACTTCTTCCTGTTCGGCTTCTTCAACGATGTCAGGTTCATCAGCTGCTAGTCGACTAATTCCCCCCCAAAATGGAGCTGGAGTTCCTTGAGAGGCTGCACGAGTATTATAAAACGTTCGCCACGCGGTGGCGCTTTCATCGGCGGTATTGAACTTCTAGGTATCCAACGCGGTAAGTACGGCGGCTGCAGTTCGAGAAGCTGTTGGTACAGTAGTTGCTCGAAAGTCAATATCCACATGTTGATAATTTGTTTCTTCTGGGTGATCCCAGGGACCAAGTGCAAGTACGCGTTCAGAATCTCCAGAAGTTCCCTGTGCTGCGAACTGAAGAACGGACACTCCATGTTGAGTGGCAGCATGACCAAGATAAGTATTCGTTGAACTGTGCCAGAGCTCCTGATCCATCGTTTCACAATTGCCCTGTGTGTGGATTTTGTGTGCCAGGAGTTGAGCCGTGGAAAGAAGATTGAAGCCAAGACCAGCGACGATAAGAACATTGGTAACATGTAGTGAGTATCCCGTGTCGATAGATTCGAGCATTACGCTCCCAACAGAACGTGCCATAATCGTTTGTCCATTTGCGACTGTGACAGGTATCGGACGACGAAGTGGACGCTGGTTGGTGATGAAGCTTGTTTCTGCAGAGCACATGTGCCAACCGCAGCAGTTGTCGAGATACCAAGTATTCGGACCTGAAATTATTCGAGCAAGATTAGCGTAAACTTGAGCATTTCCGTGGAGAACAATAGGGTGCCTTTGGCACACATCAAGTATTACCTGGCATTACATGTGTATCTCTAGTTCTGCAATCTGCATGAAGTTGACGGTCTCAACTAAGACCATACCTCGGAGGGCGGAGAAGTAAAGGAACGATATTTTCTTATCACGAGTTTCAGCGTGTAAAGCATACACCACTATAAATGGCTTCCCACGATTTTTATCAAATTCATTCGAGCCGCATTTACCCAATGTAACCTATCCTTAACCGCATAAACGTCCGTGCGCTTTTTACATTTCGTGCTTGTTGAGTGCGCTCCGAGCCTATTTTCCTGCCACATGTTCGAAGGTCTGCCGAGATGCTTGTTTACTTCGCGCCTAGCTATATCCTAGTGCTGGGCTGGTTTTGACGCTGGATTGTGTAATCATTTTGCTAAGACAATTCTCGCTTCTCACTGTTTTGAGTTCATAACAATATTTTAACGGAGGTGTGTATGTTATACAATACACCTGACCCCCCGAACTATCTTGAAACGAAACGTCACAGCCACATCGGCAATATTTGATTTGGATTCTGTAGGATGCTTTGAATAGGTGCTGTTCATACTAATCTCTGCACCACCACTGGCTGGGTTGTGCCGTGGCAAGTGAAAGGGACTGTGGTGGTCCCGCCTGGAGGCAAGTTGCGACCCGTCGTTACTAACGACTTCGTCGTTGGCCACGCAAGGGGCACAGCAGGGTCAGGGCCGCGTGAAACCCCGGCAGCAACGCGATCTCGAGGAATCATTCTCATTCGTCAGTGCCATCTCAGCAGAGTCATTGGTGAACCCGAGCCAGGCGAGGAGGGCTGCCCTGCCAGATTCCGAAATTCAAACTGTTCCGAAGGTGGACGGGACAGCTCTGGCGCTTGCTGAGGAAGGAACGAGCACTGCAGAAGAATGCACATCACCGTACCGCACGCCTCCATGTGACCATACGAACTGTTTTCCTGGTGGCAACGGGATTCTGCGAGGCGAACCAAAAGGCTGGGCGGATTGACAATGACATACAGCCATGCCATGCCATGCCATCCATCCCCAAGCGTGTCTGTCATTCACTCCAAACCAAACTAAACCCGACCGACCACAATCCAGCTCACAAATCCCCAGGCCGCTTCTTGGGGCATGAACCTTCAGCTGACAACAAGACAAGCTAGAGAGGGACGACGCCCATCCCCTTTCTTGGGCTCAGGTCAGGTGCTTTGCTGGTCGTCAGACCTTGCGACTCCTACGGCTAGATCGGAGCTGTGGCATGCAGTAGGACTAGGCGATGCCTGCATGCAATCGACGGCATCACGCTCAAGGCATCGACGGCATCGACGGTAACGTCGTACAGTACGTTCAAGCGACATCACTCCTAAAGAAGCAAGTTCAGGCTTTTGCTAATCGAATCCGGCAGTTCCCTGCCTTCGTCCGTTGACTATCGTTCCCAGCCTGATGAGTCGACGACTAGAACCTTTTCCGTATTCTGCATCATCGCCTTAAACTCTTAGTTGCGTCGTCCCTAATTTCGGTCATGAGTCATGACATTCGACGGCCACCAAGTTTCGCCTCTCCCCGCCTCGCCCCGCGCGCCTTCCGCGGCGGGGACCATCGACCCGCAGTGGACGGCCGATTCGTTCGCGTGTCCGTTCTCCGTGTCGTCCGCCTCGTCGACCGACACCGCCTGTAGGCTGCCGCTTCCTGCCTGCGCGCTCATGGACGCCACTCTCCTCAAAACGCTTCCTCTGCGGAGCTCCGATTATTTCACGGCAGTCTGCGCGGTTCCAATCGCCACGCCCCTGCGCGCGTCATCGCATGCGCTCTCGAGTCTGCCGTCGCCTCGTACCGACGGTCCGCTCGCGCCCTTCACGATCAGCGTCGTTCCGCAGACCGCCGCATCGCCGTGCGCACACCACCCAGCGCAGCTTGCGGCGGACGCCGACGCGGTGCCGCTGTGGCGCGGGCCGCTGCACGTGCTGGACGTCAGCACGCACGCCGCGCGAACAGCGGGGGAGAGCTACGAGGTGCGCCCGCTGTTCGCGCTGCTCGTCTCGCCCGACGCTGCTGGCGGCGAGGCTGTGCCGCGCGGCAAGCAGGAGGGCGCAGATCGCACAGTCGGACCGGCGGAGCGCGCGCTGATAGTGGCGGCGGCGGCGGCGGACGAAGAATGGGCGGCGGTGGCAGAGGCGTGGAATGACGGCGAGGGCTGCGAGGGGAGCGAAGGGGCGGAGGGCGAGGGAGGGTGGGAGTGGGATCGTGTCGTGGCGGACGTTAAGGAGCAAGCCGAGCAGCTGCTGGCCGACTACGGCCTCACAGGCGTCACTCTCACCATCCCCGGCTCGCCTCGTCATTGCCAGCAGCGCGCCGAGCAAATAATTTCCGCCGCTCACCGCCAATGGTGCTTGCTCCCCTCCGCCCCCCTCCCGCCTCCCCCCAGCGCTCCCTTCTCTTTCCCCCCTCCCACCTCCCCCCTTCCACTCGCCATCTCACCGCCTTCGCCGCTCACCCCTCCCCCTAACGGCGGCGGCGGGAGCAGCAAGGCTCGCGGGTGGGAGGGGTTTAAAAGCGGCCGCGCGACTGGGAGGAGCGGGATGAGCGGGCGGGGCGCGAGGGCGCTGCTGCTAGCGGCGTGCTGCGCGGGGCTGGACGCGCGGCACATCCGCACGCACAGCCTCTCCGCCGACCCGCTCGACTCCGCCGACCAGCCGTCGCCCCTCTCCGACCTCCCCTCCAACCTCCCCTCTCCCTACGGGCCCTCTGTGCCGCCCGCTGTGCAAGAATCCGACAGTTTCCGCCGCCGGCCGAGGTGTTCCATCGAGGTGCCCTCGTCGCCCGGGCCGGATCCTGAACGCGCCGGTCCGGGTCTGAGGCTCGGACGGCTCTTGTCGCCCGCCTGCAGCATGGGTGGGAGCTGGTTCGTTGTGCCGAGGCTGTCCTCGACTCCGGGTTGGCAAATCGGAAGCGACAAGAGCGGCGATAAGAGCGGCGAGAAGAACGGCGGGTGGGCGGGGCAGGAGTTGTGGGGGCGAATGTCGGGGCGCGAAGAGGAAGGGCGCAAAGAAAGGAAGGGATGGCTGGACGGGGGAGAGGAGGGAGGAAAGCAGATGGAAGTGAATAGCGGATCCAGGACCAAGGGCGAGGCGCGTGAGGAGGAGATGGACGAAGAGGAAGAGGAGGAGAATGGAGAGGAGGAGGAGGAGGAGGAGGAGGAGGACGACGACGACGAGGAGGAGGAGGAGGAGGAGGAAGAGGAGGAAGGGGAAGGAGAGGAGGGCGGCCACGAGTTGACTCGCTCGCAGACGATGCAGTCGCTGCAGCGGTCAGCCTCGCGCCGAGGGCACGCGGGCAAGGGGAAGGGCGCGGGGCAGCGGAAGGTGAAGGCGGCGGCGAGAGGCAAAGGGGAGGCCAAGACGAAGGCGGGCAGTAAAGAGTCGGCGCGGCTGGCAATGGCGCGCAGCGCGAGCTTCCGCGTGTATATCGACACGGGGAAGGGTGCAGGGGGCAGCAAGGGCAGGCAGGGGGACGGAGGGGAGGGGCGGAGCCTCTCGCGGCAGAACAGCGCCGTTGGCAGAAGGCTGGAGCAAGAGGAGCGGGGCGTGCGGTACTACAGACAGGCCAGTCAGCGGGAGCGAGGGGGCGAGGCGCAAGGGCGGGGGCAGGAGAACGAGGGGCGGCGGGAACAAGATGGCGGAGCGGAGGAGGAGGGGGAAGCCGGATCTTTCAGGCGCGCGTATAGTGCTCCGCGCGGCGAGCGGTCGCTGGAGCGCAGCAAGAGTATGAAGCGCGCGCAAGAGCGGGAAGAAGCAGACGCTGTGAGGGGGAGATGCGGGGAGAACGCGGGGGGAGCAGCGCAGGGAGAGGAAGCGAGGGGAGGAGGGAGGGTGAGGGACTGCAAGCGGGGCACAGAGCGCGGCGGCGACAGCAGCGGGCAGGCGGAGCCAGGCGAGCTGCAGCGCGCGCTCACCCTCCCCAACCGACCCGCTGCCGCGCGCGCAGGCCGCAGCAGCAGTCGCAGGGAGCGCGAGGGGGAGGGGGAGGGGGAGGGCGAGGCTGTTGGGGAAGGGAGGGAAGAGGAAGCGAGGGAAGGGCGAAGGGAGGCGGAGAGGGCGGAGCGGCTGCGGCAGCAGCTGCAGCAGCAGAAGCAGCGGCTGCAGCGGCAGTGCAGCAGGCGGCACCAGGTGGCGCGCAGCGGCACGGACGAGCAGGCGGCGGGTTTGGCTCGGCGGGGCCGGGAGCTGCTGAGGCTGGCGTCGCTGCCGCGGCAGCAGCAGCAGCAGCAGCAGCAGGGCGCGCAGGCAGGGACGCAAGCGGGAGGGGGAAGGCGGGAGACGAAGCAGGCCGGGGCGGCTGCGACGCCTCGGCTGCGGCGCATGGGGCGCGACGGCAGCTTCCGCGTGCACCTCGACCTCAGCCCGCGCGGGCCTGCTAGCGCCGCTGCAACTGCTAGTGCGTCAAGAGAGGCTTCCGAGCAGCAGGTGAGGCGCGCGGTGACGCACACGGGGGCGTCGGAGCAGAGGCGCACGGGCGAGAGTGGCGCCGTGGGGGCGGACGGCACGCAGCTGGGGCGCACTGCCAGCATGCAGGGTGGGGGGAGACCGGCGGAGGGGGCGAGCAGGCAGGCGCAGATGCGGCGTGCTGTGACGCACACCGGGGCGTCGGAGGAAAGAGGGGCGGCGGGGCAGAGCGGTGTTGCAGCAGACAGGAGGCAGGTAGACCGCAGTGGCGGCATGGCGGGCGGCGAGGCGAGGCGGGCAGGCGAGAGCGGCAGCACGGCGGGAGACGTGAGGGGGGTTGATGGCAGTGCGAGCATGCAAGGGGCGGCGAAGCAGGCGGAGGGGATGGAGTGCAGCGCGAGCACGCAGCGGCAGGAGGAGAGGGCTGGCGGAGAAGGCATGGCGGCGGCAGAGCAGGAGGCCACGGGGGGGGTGGGCAGGGAGAGGGAGAGACTGGCAGCTGCTGCTGCTACTGACAGGCGTCGTGTACTCGTTATTGACATCCCCGATAAGGGCGACCTCTACCCCGCCCCGCTCACTGCTCCTGCTCGCAGCCTCGAGTCCTCCCCCACCGCCACAGCGCCCTCCACCACGAGAGCGCCCTCCGCGCGCCTGTTCCCCGCAGCACCCCCTGCAGGGCCCCCGGGTCCCTCCCCCTCGTCTGCACGCGCTCCTCTCCCCGCGCCCTCTGCCCCTCCCGCCGTGGCTGCTGGCAGGGGCTTCAGTGGCAGCAACAGGCAGAGGTGGGCGGAAGGCGGGGGGGAGAGAAGGGGAGGCCAGACAGCATCAGCAGGGACCACACCCACGTCAGCTATGTTAGCACCCACGTCAGTTGTGTTCACACCCACGTCAGCTGCAGCCACTCCCACGCCAAAGCCCAGCAGCAAGCCCTCTCCGCGCTTCCCCACGTCCCATGCGCCAGCAGGCCTCGCCCCTGACCTTCCTCCCTCGCTGCACCCAACCCATGCTGCACCGCACCTCGCCTCCCCCTCTGCTGCGCCAGCACACCTCTTCCCCCCAAGCGCCACTGCCCCCAGCGGCCCCCCTGCTGCTGCCCCGCGCATCCAGCCGGCGCGGTCGCTGCCGCCCATCCGCGAGGGCATGGTGCTGCCCGGGCTGCTGCAGGGCGCGCAGCAGCACACGCGCCGGGGGGAGCGCTTGCCGCTGTCCGCCACGGCCAGGATCGGGGATGGGGGGGCGGGCCCAGGGGGCATGTGGGGAGGTGCGGGTGGGAGGAAGGAGGTAGAGGCAGAGGTGTACTTGCTGGGTGAGCCGCCGCAGCAGTGGCAGTGGCAGCAGCAGCAGCAGCAGCAGCAGCAGCAGCAGCAGCAGGGGTGGATGCAAGAGGGAGGTGATGCAATGGTGGTGGAGGAGCATGAGTGGCAGCAGAGGCAGCTGCGGGCTGCTCAGATGCAGCAGCACTGGCACCAACAACAGCACCCGCACCAGTTTTACCAGCCGAGCCAGCAAGCGGGCTTTGTCTCTCAGCACAGGCAGCAGCAGCAGCAGCCGCCGCCACCTTGGCAGAGGGTGGTTGGAAGGCAGGAGTGGAGGGAGGGGCAGTCACAGCCATCGCCTGCTCACTCTCAGTCGTTCAACCGCCAGCCGCAGCTGCAGGCGCAGCAGGGTGAGTGGTTCCAGAACCCAGCAGGGGGGGCAGTGCGTGCAGCCAAGGAGAAGAGGGTGTCGTTCCGGCAGGGCTGTGAGCCCTCCCTGCAGGTGCCCCGTGTGAGCCCCACCATGCAGCAGCCTCCGCCTCAATTCGCCACCAACTTCAAGTCGCCCACCCACCACCGACACGGGGCTGAACAACCCATGCTGGGCTCCCAAGTGCCCTCGCCCCATGCACCCCCGCCCTATGTGCAGCAGCAGCACACTCTGCCAGCGACCAGCCCACGGGGGGAGGACCCGTCGCTGAGCCGGCTGCTGTCATGGGACTCCCGGTCCAACTCCTTCTCCGCCGCTGTCAGGGGCTGACCTCCCGCGCATTTGCTCCTTGCTCCGCACTGCACTAGTGAAGCACGTGCTGTGTTGTGCCATGTGCTTACAAAAGTACTCATGATTTGTCAGAGTTTCATTATGGGCCAGCTGATACGGTGTTTAATGCATATAGATGGTTATGTATATCATTAGGGCGTATCATTTAGGTTCGTTTTGCTGAAATTCCTAAACCGTTATTTATATATCCATCCCTTCATAACGAGTCATCTTTGTAAGGAAAATCCATTTTCCTTGCTGGGCTCGACTACAGCGCGTAATGTTAAATTATATATATGTTATATAATTGTAAGCTTGGTAGGTGTTACTGAAACCTACTGTAGAGGGTACAACCTCCTCCTTGTATCCCTCACAATTCTAATCTCCCCCTCTTTTCTCTCGTAACTTTCTCCTAGCTAAACCCTCGTGCCATTCTATGGCTTCCTAGCAGGGCCTCAGATTCGTTTTGGGGCAAGCTGATCGCTCAGGGTCCCCCCCCCTTTAGCTCCCTGTTTTTTCAGGCCTCGCAAAAAATCTTATGCTGATCAATCAGGGTGTTGTAATTTTTTCACGCTGAATAAACAGTCACCTACGGTATGAGCTGGAGACAGCAGTGGCTGGCAACTTTCGAACAACCTAAGAGAACCTGCCGAGCAGTGTGTGCTGGATGAAGAAAGGCAGAATACTCTCCAGGGGGGCGGGGTTCTGGTTGGTCACAGTCAAGTCGGCGTGATTGACGGGGAGGGTGGGGGGTGTTGGGCTGAGAAAAAGCCCTTAGGATCTTTTGCAGAGACTAAGTCCCAGCTGTAGAGACTTGAGACTTGGAGTAGTGCAGCGGAAGTTTGAGACAGTTGAACCCTTGTACTAGTATGTGAGAACAAGTGATTGATTAAAGAAACAAGCATACAGCAATATATAGAAGATAAGAAAGCAGTTGCAGAGTACAGTTACAGGAACGGTTTATCGAGTCGCATAGCGACTCGATTGCCGCTTCGGTTACCATCCGTGATGCTGTAATGGTCAGTCGCAACCTCCGGTTGCGACCTTTCGGGTCTTTTCGCATTCTTTGTCCGCCCCCTCGTGTAACCTCCGTTGACTCGCGTGCTCCCCTGTAGTCTTCCTCGAGTGTAGTGTTACACTTCAGAAACGCTTAAGTTCTTTGAGATATTTCCAACACTCCCCTTCGTTTCTGGAGTGCTGTCATGTTCGGGTCCGGTGACGTTTGTTTGCCCGGTCAGGAGCATGCAGTAGTCGAATTTTGCTTTCGCCAATTTCTTCGTCAGGTAGTCTGCGGCCATTTCTGTCGTCGGGCAGTAACTGAGTTGAAGTCTCCCCTTCGCGATTTCATCTTTGACGAAGAAGTACCTCAGGGCGATGTGCTTGGTTCGGTTGGCGAAGCCGTCCTTGTTTGCGATTTTGATCGCAGATTGGTTGTCGCAGAGGAGTGAGAAGGCGGGCAGGGTCGCAATCTTCGCTTCCTCGAGTAACTCTCGTAGATAGAGTCCTTCCTTGGTCGCAGTACAAAGGGCGATATACTCTGCTTCGGCCGAGGATAGTGCGATTAACTCCTGTTTGCTCGACTGCCAGGAGATAGTTCCGATAGGTTCTAGTCGGTAGATGTAGCCCGTCCTAGACCGTCGATTTTCGCTGTCTCCCGCGTGGTCGGCGTCGACGTATCCGAGTAGTCGTACGGACGGTGTTGTTGCCTTGCTGTAGGTGAGCCCGATCGTCGGCGTGGAGACGAAGTAGAGTAGCGCTCGATTGAGTTCCTCGAGATCTTCCTGTTTCGGCTGCTTCAGATGTGTCGCCAGCTGACTCGCACTATAGGACAGGTCGGGTCGGCAGGTTACTGATGCGAATAGTAGGCAGCCGAGCTTCTGTTGATACTCCTGGATTTGTTTCGCGGGGAGTTTTGTAGAGGCGCTGCTGTTGTTCCCGTAGCGGTAGGGAGTTGGGACCGCAGTCGGTGTTAGACCGAATTTCTTCGCGACGGTGCTTGAGTACTTTCCAGCGTGTAGGTAGAACGCCGTGTCGTCTTCGACGACGTTCAGTCCTAGGTACTGCGTAACTTTGTCGGACACCGTAAGTGTTAAATCTTCTTTCAGCTCCCCTTCGAACCAGGTGGCGATGTCGGTAGTGGAGCCGATGTAGAGCAGGTCGTCGACGTAGACGATGAGCAGAACATACTCTCTTCCCTTCTGCAGTCGGTACATCCCTTGGTCATGCGGCAGCTGTAGGAAGCCGATTTTTGCGAGACGGCTGTGAAGATGCTGCTGCCAGAGCCGCGGGGCTTGCTTGATCCCGTATAGGGATTTTGTCAGTCGGCATATTTTCGTGGGGTCGTCGATGAATCCGTGGGGTTGTTCGACGAAGATCTCAGCGTCCACAGGTGCGTATAGGAACGCATTTGCGACATCGATTTGGCGTAGTGGTAGTGTTTTCGTGGCCGCGACGGCGAGTAGGATGCGTAATGAGGTGTGACGGGAGACTGGAGCGAAGGTTTCTGTGTAGTCGGTTCCGTATCGTTGATCGAAGCCTCGTACGACCCATCGAGCTTTGAATCGTTCGATGGAGCCGTCTGAGTTGGTCTTGATGCGGTACACCCATTTCCCCGAGAGAACGTTCTTCCCGTTGATGCTCGTTGCAGGTACCAGTTTCCATGTTTCTCGGTCTTGCAGAGCTTTTAACTCCTTTTCTATCGCTTCCTTCCATTTTTCCTTATGTTCCCCCCCCAGAGCCTGCGACAAGGTTGAAGGCTCACGCGTAGAAGGCGGCGGCGGATGCTGGACGGAGACCCAGAGGCCTAGAATCTGGAGTCCCATGGGTGTGTGTCGAGGGGAATTGTCATTCCCGGAATAAGTTGCTTCGTCACCGTCTTCGGGGTCAGGTAAGAAATTGGGGCCGATGCGTTCCGAAATATTCGTGTCGACGGGTTGAGGTGTAGCGTAACCTTGGTCGGCGAAGTGGTAAAAGGTGTCGAGGTTGTTGCTATCGAGGGGATTATCTTCATCGAGTGGAACAGGTACGGAACAGAATGGGAGTGGCCCGGCAGCTTCCGAGGCTCCAGGTACGTCTTCTTCTGCTGCGTCAGCTTCGGCAGCACGATCGGCGAAGGAACGAAGTCCCGAGAGGCCGTCGGTGGGGTCTTGTGTGTTGGCAAGGTTGTCCAGGTAATGCTGTAGAGTCAGTCGTTCGTAGAAGATAACGTCTCGTGATGCCACTGTGTTTTTGTCTTGTATGTCGAGAATTTTCCACGCGTGAAAATGTTTCGCGATGCCGAGGTGGAGTCCCCACCGAGCTCTTTGTGTGAAGCGTCCTGCTCGGGCTGTGTGGGGTCTGTACTGTACCATGCAGCCAAAGACTCTGAGTAATTTTGTGCTGCCCCTTTTTCTTGTCCACAACAGGTGCGGTGATGCGTTGTTGGGAAGTGATGACGAGGACAGCAGGTTGTGCAGGTGAACAGCATGTGTCATCGCGTCTGGCCACAGTGTGGTTGGCAGTCGCATCCCCTGAAGCAGTTTTCGCATCGTCGTCTGCAAGGTCCGATTCATGCGTTCTGCTACCCCCTGCTGTTGGTGAGCATAGGGCAGGGACACCAGGCGTCTGATTCCCCTTTCCGCCAGATAGGTCCTGAAGCGTTGTGACTGGTATTCCAGTGCACCGTCTGACTGGAAGCTCTTGAGTTTGAGTCCTGATTCTCGTTCGGCGATGGGGAGCCATGTTGTGAAGGCTTCGAAGGCTTGGTCGCGCGTTTTGAGATTGAAGTGCCAGACATATCTGGTTGCGGCGTCGATGAAAGTGATGACGTAGTTAAAGTCGGCTTCGGCGTCGTCTCGAGGCATGTTTAAAATATCGCTGTAGACTTTTTCCATCGGAGCGTAAGTAGGTGCGCTTGGGTTGTGATGGGATGGAAAAGGTTGATGAGGAAGATCTGCTTCGGGGCATGTGAAGCACCGTGCGCGTGGTCGTCGAAGTTCTTGACCGCTCGTCGTCAGAAGGGCGTTGCGTTCTAACACCTCTGCTTGGATTGTTTGAAGTATTGTGCTGTTTGCAGGGTGTCCGAGGCGTTGGTGCCAGATGTCGTCGGGAGCACGGTGACCGGGCGAGCGGTGGTAGATGTCGGCGTTGGAGAAGAACGCGACGACCGAGGCGGGACTTCGACAAGCTTCTCGTGTGGCGGGCATAAGTTGGTCTGCTTCCGTTGGCGGTCCTCGTGTTGATGGTGGTGGTACTCGGCTGGGTCCTGCTGCCGATACTGCAGGTGATGGTTTTGTTGGGACACTTGCGGGTACTTGTCTTTCTTGTCTGATAACTGCTAATGCTCGTGTTCTCTCTGCTGCAGGTATGGTGTTGGAGTGCCAGAAGCCGTCACTGTCGAAGTCGGGATCAAGATCCGGCAGGTGAGTCCAGGCGGCGAACGATACGATACCGTCGCTGTCGGCAGTACCGCGGTCGGGGACGAAGTCCAACACGAAGACGCCGGACTTCAAGAGGGCACGACCGATGAAGAGGCCGCCCTTCCCGTGGTAAAGCCGGAACTCGTTGGAGTAAGAGTCGCACTCCAGGTGAATCCCTTTGGCCATTAGTTGGCTTACGCTTAGTAGATTGTATCCCAGGTTGTCGACAATGAGCACTTTGTTGAGCTGCAGTATTACGTTTGTTTCCATGGATTGTAACTGAACCACGCCTTGTCTGTTTGTCTTCAGGTTTTCGTTGTTGGCGACTGTGATGACGACGTCGCGGTTGAGTCGTTTCTCCTGTTGCACGAAGCGTCCCGAGGAGCACATGTGTTGACCGCAGCAGCTGTCCAAGAACCAGGTGTTTCGCCCGGTGGGTTCGGCGTTGGCGACTGCAGCGTATGTCGGGTTGACCTGAAGTCCTTGCGAGCGCGGCGGCGGGAATTCCTCTTCGTCTGGTGCGTAAGTGGGTGGTGAACCGGGTGCGCAGTTGTCGATGTGTACCATGCAGTTGATGATGTTGGGTGTTTGTTGTGCAGATGTTGAAGAGCGCCTTGGAGGACTTGCTTGAGTGGAAGCGACTTGTGGGTCTGCTGCACGGTAAACGCGAGGGCGGTTGCAGTTGACTTTGGAGTGCCCGGAAGTCTGGCAGTTGTGGCAGAACGGCGGTACGATGGTGAGTCCTCGGTTGTCGCGTTGATCTTGCTTGCTGCGTCGGTTGTAGTTGTTGTCATTTCTTCTTTGAGTGTAGAAGACTAACTGCTGTTGCTTCCTTGGT